TTGCAGGTGTTGTTTCTTGGTATTGAATTTATTTGTCTGATGACTGACAAACAAAAAACACCCTATTTGGGTTTGTTTTTGGTCTTAACTTAACATATTATAAGCATTCAGCATGGAAAAGTCAAGAAGATGGAAAAAAAAGTTTATGTACCACTTATAACTTTTGCGAACACAGTCACAAACCCAATCTGCAGTCACATTTGTCCCCAAAACCATTGAGGTTGTAAACCACACAGCTCAGGGTTTTACAATAGGTTTTTTGGGCTCTCTATTCTGCTTGCCAGTCTCTAAAACCCTTTCGTGTCGGTGAATGTGTCAGCAGTGTACACCGTTTGTCCCTCCCCGAAATGCCCTGATTCATTGGCAGGAAACACCTGCCCTTTACCCCTTGACGCCCGCTTTGAACCTAGGCATATGTTTCGACCTTACGCACTGTGCCCCCACATCTGTCATTTACTCGCAAGAAACATGAGTATAGGGCTTGTGTACAGTTTTCTATTAAAATTTTGCCCCCTTAACCCAATATGGGTCCATCATTTTTCTAACCACATACCCGAGTTCCCCGTAACTTCCTGGGTTCTTCCCTTGTTTTACCGCCTTACACATTATATCCAAAACCAGACCGTTTTGCAATCAACAGAACAAATAACTTTATCCCAAAACGTTTTCCCCTTGCTTGGTATATTGCTTTTAAGAGAGTCTTCTTTTAAAAAAAATCAAAGCCCGTCAATAACAGCTTCCGAAGGAAAAAATACATACAGCACTTTTGTTTCAGGTAATAAAACCCTCTGATCTTATATAAATGTCGCTTCTGTCACCTGGTTTTGTCTGAAAAGTGTAACAACGTAAAGTAAACAAATCTATTCATGGTATAAGTCCTGAAAACGGGGGTTTAAATCAGGCGGGTCGCCCCTATGTGCTGACACTATGTTATACACTTGGGTTTAAAATTATTGTGGCAAAGAAAAAGATACTCTTGCCACAGTTTTTGTCCTTCCCCTGGTGAGGCGGTTTGGGAAAGCTAGTGTTTGCCCTGGGGGTACTCCTAGTATGTAGCTTCCCCACAAAATTCCATCAGGGTTATGAAGAACAACGAAAGCATTTTCCCGTTCGGGGGGATTTTTCCCAAGTGTACATGATGGCCGTTTCCACTTTGTCCCTTATCAAATCATGGGATTGGGTACAAATCGTCATCTTTATGCCCAAACCCAGTGCGTAGTGGGGCGTTCTGGATATTTTAATGCGTTGTGGGGTTTGCGGTTGGGTTGTGGTTTTGAGAGTGTGGGGGCGGCCGAAGCAGTTGTAGTTTGCAAATCAGCAGCGCGGGCACTAGCGTGGCCCGTGCTGGTTCACTGACTCATGGGAAACCCCACTTTCACCACCACCGCCTGCTGCCCACTACATCATTAAAACCCTCGTAAAATATCGCATCTTCACATCAGGGGGTGGTGTAGGGCCCGGGGGTGTGCCCGAGATGTACTCCTTCCCCTTGGAAGAGCTATGGGACACTACCGACCCCCCTGCGACGTCGACTACTGCCGTTTCATTGGGAATATTTACCCCCACTGTCCCCAACTAGAAGTGCTTCAATAACCCTTTAAATACATCACTATCATTGCACTGTCACATCTGAGTCTTGTACACGGCAAATAGTTTCCTCTTTTGTCCTGGTACAGGGAATATGAACGGCCCGGGCCCAGCACCAGAGGGGGATGGGTTTTGGGTCATCTGGGTTTTTATCACTAATTATGTATCCGGGTAATTTTCTCGTCACACCCGCTTTAAAAAACCCGAATTCATTTCTGACACTATCATCACTTTTGAGCTATCACTTGGGGAAAAAAGACCCCATCCCCCCGGGGGGTGAGGAACTTCTTACCGCGAGGATGGTGAAAATGGCTACCCAAAATGGCGTTCCCCCAATGCACCGCTGAGCCCAGTTTTTTTTTACAGGGGGCACCCGACACTGAGACCCATTCTCTCTCGTGAGGCTACCACCCTCTCCCCCCCTCATTTTAAGCCGTAAATTTTTGCGTATAGAACTCAAACCGGTTTATCTCCCCTGACGTACATATCGCCGCGCAGTCAAAGGGTTATTTCCCTTTCTGAGAGTCATGTAGTCGGAAAAATCGTTAGTCAAGTTAATTTTCCCCATAAGAAATAATGGAAATCAAATTAATCCGTGCAAGACACCCAAAAGTATTGAAAAAAAAAAATTTTACCACATGAAATATTAATTTTAATACACACAAACTGAAGATTACATGCACAGTTACATGACACTTACCTTTATTGAAGATCTGGTGATGATTGATGGGAGGGGAGAGGTGTTAGTGTTTAGAAGGGGAATCCCCTTCCATTAGCACTTGAGGCAGCAAGTCTTTTTCTGGGGTTACTTCCCTTGTTCTTTTAATGCCACTAGGACCAGCTTCAGAGTCACTGGACTTCTGTCACACAACATATCTGTCCATAGAGGCCTGTACCTCTCGTTCCTTTATGACTTTCCTAAAGTGGTTCACAACAGTGTCAGTGTAATAGTCACCAGCATGACTTGCAGTAGCTGTGTCAGGGTGATTTTCATCAAAAAAGGTTTGCACTTCAAGCCACTTTGCACACATTTCCTTTATCTTAGAAGTAGGCAACTTCTTCAATTTCTCTCTCCCCTCCTCCGAAGCAGTTTCCTCAGGTGTGCCCTCTTGCTGTTGAAGATGATCTAGCAGCTCATCAGTGGTTAGTTCTTCACTGTCCTACACCACCAACTCTTCCACATCCTCCCCACTAACCTCCAACCCCAAGGACTTCCCCAGTGCCACAATGATTCCTCAACTAGCATAGGATTCTCAGGGTTAGCCTCAAACCCTTCAAATCCTTTTTGTCTACACATTCTGGCCACAGTTTTTTCCAAGCAGAGTTCAATGTCCTCTAGTCCACTTCCTCCCAAGCCTTACCTATAATGTTCACACAATTGAGGATTGTAAAATGATCTTTCCAAAACTCTCTTAGAATCAGTTGAGTTTCTGAGGTCACTACAAAGCATCTTTCAAACATAGCTTTTGTGTACAGTTTCTTGAAGTTGGAAATAACCTGCTGGTCCATGGGCTGCAGGAGAGGAGTGGTATTAGGAGGCAAAAACTTCACCGTAATGAAGCTCATGTCCCTAGAAAGTCGCTCTGCCAAGTCTGAAGGATGACCAGGAGCATTGTCTAATACCAGGAGGCACTTAAGGTCTAATTTCTTTTCAATTAGGTAATTTTTCACATTGGGAGCAAATGCATGATGTAACCAGTCATAGAAAAAGTCCCTAGTGACCCATGCCTTACTGTTTGCCCTCCACAGCACACACAAATTAGCCTTGAGGACATTGTTTTTCCTGAACACACTGGGAGTTTCAGAGTGATACACCAATAAAGGCTTCACTTTGCAATCACCACTAGCATTGGCACATATCAACAGAGTAAGCCTGTCTTTCATAGGCTTATGTCCTGGGAGTGCCTTTTCCTCCTGAGTAATGTACGTCCTGCTTGGCATTTTCTTCCAAAACAGGCCTGTTTCGTCACAATTAAACACTTGTTCAGGTTGCAGTCCTTCACTGTCTATGTACTCCTTGAAGTCCTGCACATATTTTTCAGTCGATTTGTGGTCCGAACTGGCAGCCTCACCATGCCTTATCACACTATGAATGCCACTACGCTTCTTAAATCTCTCAAACCAACCTTTGCTGGCCTTAAATTCACTCACATCACTAGTTGCTGGCATTTTTCTAATTAAATCGTCATGCAACTTCCTAGCCTTTTCACATATGATCGCTTGAGAGATGCTGTCTCCTGCTATCTGTTTCTCATTTATCCACACCAATAAAAGTCTCTCAACATCTTCTATCACTTGCGATCTCAGTTTCGAAAACATAGTTGTACCTTTGGCAAGAACAGCTTCCTTGATTGCCGTTTTCTTGCCCACAATAGTAGCGATTGTTGATTGGAGTTTGTTATACAACCTGACCAGCTCAGAGATACGCACTCCACTTTCGTATTTATCAATGATCTCTTTCTTCATCTCCATAGTAATTCTCACCCTTTTTGCTGTAGGGTTGGCACTAGAAGCTTTCTTGGGGCCCATGGTGACTTATTTTGCAGGTGAAATCACTAAAAAGGCTGTGATAATATGAAATGTTCCAGTTGTATGTTTGGAAGCGACCGCGGTGGCTGGCTGGCTTGTAAACACTGGCACCAAAGGGACAAGTGAGGCGCGCTCAGGCCAAAGTGGACGCGTATGGTACGGAACGAATAGCGCTGGTCGGGTTTTTAAGCGCTAGTCGAGGCAAAATTTTTGCGTTAAAATGTATCGCTAGTCAGATTTATCGTTAATCGATGTCATCGTTGGTCGAGGGTCCACTGTACTATTATTTCTGTTGCAGTTACAGTATAGTCTTAAGCAGTAAAAACTACATAATATATCACGACAATGAACTACAATTATATACAGTGGACCCCCGCATAACAGTCAGCTAACAACTCGACCAATTATGTAAGCGTATTTTTGTAAATGCTTTTGTAGGTGTATTTTTAGGGGTCTGAAACGGTTTAATCTAATTCACAATATTTCTTATGGGAACAAAATCGGTCTATAACGGCACCCAAACAGACTTCTGGATTGAAATAATATCGTTATGCTGGGGTCCACTGTATTCACTTTCATTTTTGTAAGATCTGGAGGTCTAAAAAAAAGTCATTTGTGGGGGAAGCTCACATCCTGAATTTTTGCTCGTAACCAGAAACAAAAAATCGACCAAGCGACTGCTCGTATCCTGAAAAACTTGTATGGGGGGCACTTGTAAGCTGAGGTTCCACATTTATCCACTGATGCCATCCTACCTTATTGTCTTCATAAAAGTTATAATTTTCGCAGTGAATGGACGAGACAAATTGTTTTTTTAACCCTTTCAGGGTCTTTGCTATAGATCTATGGCTTTACGTTGAGGGTCCAAACAGTAGATCTACGCCATGAGCTCAGCTCACCCTGATAAGATGTGAGCGGTAAATTTGAGCCTAGATATGAAAGAATACATCTATGTGGTATGTGTGCACTACATAAAACAAATCCTGCAGCACACAGTGCATAATGATAAAAAACTGAGACCATAATTTTCGATTAAAACAGCAACTTTGCAGTGTTTTTTTGTATGTTTTTTCCAGTTGTATTTGCGATTTCTTGGTCTCATTTGATAGAATGGAATATAAATTACAGAAATAAAGAGAATTTTGATTGGTTTTATTACTGAAAATGACTTGAAACTGAGCTCAAAGTAGCAGAAATGTTAAATTTTTGCTGATGTTCAAGAGTAAACAAATGACCTCACACGTCTAATACATGCCAGCTGGTGGGTCTAATATACATTCAAAAATGTACTGATGTTATTTATACAGTTATTACAATATTGTATGACAGTAAATCTTCTATTTTTTGGTTTGAATAAAAATTCATTGTGAATTAAAAATCAAAATGGAATTCATTTGTAAAGCCTGAAAACATAACTAATGATAAGAGGAAATGATAGTTTAGTGCCAGGAATGCCTGCATTGTTTATTCTGGACCCTGTTTTGAAATTGGAATATTTTGAACTTTGCACTAAATTTGCTAAATTACCAATTTCCAATCACTTTATTTTGTAGTTGAAACAGTTGAGTTGGCAATTTCTTGTGCTCAGTCGATAGAAGTAATACTAGTGAAATAGCTAAGAATTTGGTCAACTGGAATAAGGTAATTGGCCTAAAATGGGAGACAATGTCGGCAAAATCGCCAATGCGTAAATATCGCCGACACATCAAAATTCGCGAGAATAATTTCGTCAATTTTCCATCAAATTTTGTACTTTTGGTTTTATTACCTTCAGATAAAGATTCTCTACCATTTCATAAGAAAAATAAAATTCTTTTTTGAAAATTCTTGGACATGGTGCGCACTTTGAAATTTGGCCTCTGGACCCTGAAAGGGTTAACTGACCATATCCCACCAAAGCAGGGTGACATAAAAAGAAAAACAAAAGTCTTTTTTTGAACATTTAGTAATTTATACAGGAGAAGGGATTACTAACCTCTTGCTTCCAGCATTATAGTTGCCTCTTACAACACTCGTTGTTTACGGACCTTAAATGTTGGCATCAATTTCACAAACTCTTATCTTCTGCAGGTACGAGGTGTTGGAGCAGGAGGAATTGTCTCCACTGCCTTCTGCATATTGTACAAGCTTTACACCCTTCGCTTGACACGTAAACAAGTCACCGGGCTGCTCAACCATGGGGATTCTCCTTACATCCGAGGTTTAGGTTTTATGTACATAAGGTAAGATTAGTTAGTGTTGTAACCTTCTTTTACCAGTCTTTCAGTAGATATTTAGTTTTTATAATGTGAGTTGCTTCTAGAGTGCAAGGCTACAGGATCACTTTTATTTATAATGGATCTGCAGTCAAGATTAGACAGCTGTGGAATTAAATATTCACTTATGGGGAAATATTTCATGGTTACTGTAATTAAAAAAGGAGAGTAGATCTGTGAAGCTCAGTGTAGGTTTAGTGTGATTTAAAAAAACATGTAAATCTTATTGTGATGTTGATTTTGACTGGTACAGTAAAACCTTAATTTGATTGATTTTAGATTTAACAGACAAAATTTGTTTGAACAGTTTAGTAGCCTTAAATCTGTCAAAGGCCTGGAAATTAACTACCCCTTCTGCATTGTGATTTTTTGGAAAAAAAGTCTTGCCAAATGAAATATCTTATTCATCTTAAGGTAATTAGACCTAACATAGTGAAACTGGTCCAGTGCTTACGGAATAATGAAGATGCAAAGTTGAAGGAGTTGGAATGCCTGATGGCAAACAGCTGGTCTTGCCACACAGCACCCAGTTTCTTATTTTCATGTCATTATTTCTTTTTTTATTATTTGTTTATAATTATAAACAGTACAGCATTGTTTTATATGACACTGGTTGTGTTGTTATTTGTTCTAGGATTTGAATTTGTCACAGAATTCCTCAAAACAAGATGATGTAATAAACAGTAATAAACTGCTTCAGTTTATTACTGTTTCTAACACTGTACAAACACTCAACATGTATTACCAGAGTTCGTGCATTTTGTGTGTGTGTGGAACTTCTCAAAACAATACAGCACAAATAATGTCTCGTAATACTTACACACATATTTTGTCTTGTGTGCACGTGCGCACACACCTTTTCTGAGTTTCAGTGGTGATAGTGATCACCAGGCTCCAGACAAAATGGAATTTTTTCATCACTGTGGCAATGGTGTGGCGCTGGAGTTGTGGGTTGTTGTATTTGGGGCCGTGTATTATAACCACTTTCTTCACATTAATCTCAGACCCATGGAACTCCACATCAGAATCACTGTTCTCATTGTTAATGCCTGTAGGTAATAATATGAGCAGTTAATTGAGGCTGGAGTAAGGGACATGTCTAGAATTCATAACAGAAGTTGAGAGTGTAGCTGTTCCCATTATTCTCTGTGTGGGACATGGTGTTCTGTATACAGCACACACCTTGTGCACAGACCCATTCTTCCATGCCTAGGCCTAAATTTGCCACCCACAGCATATTTGAAGGCTCTCTCGGTTATAATATTACATCACTGCCATGAAGTCTTAGACTGTCGCTTATGTAGATCTACGTGGTTGATGCTAGTGGTGCTGTCATGTTGTGAGTGGTAAATTTTGGCCAAGAAACAAGAGAATAAGTGCATGGTGGATGTGCACAGTATAGAAAAAAAATTCTGTACTATTCAGGTCATGATGAGAACAAATAACTTCTGGCGTTGTGTTTAGGATGAAATAGCAAATTTGGAGCATTTTTATGGTGCCTTTCATAATTTTGTTGGCTGTTTCTTCATACCAGTTGATAGCCTGAGAGACATGCTTTTGAAATGGATACATATTTTTAATCAGTTTCGTGCTAGAAATGCCCTGATATAGGCCTCACAGTGGTAGAAACAGTCAATTTTTGGCGATCTTTTTGAGGAAAGGTGGGGAGTGTCCTTCCTCTACTCCCAAGTCTGTTTTATATGTTTGTTAGGTTGGTTTCAATTACTGGAAAGTCTTAAACCATGACCAAGTATTCTTGGTTATGGTTTATTATCAAGAAAAGAGGGAAACCAAGAGGTTGATTGTTTGTCATGATGGATTCAAAATTGAGGGCAAGAGTTATACAGAAGAGGCCTAGGAACATGATCACTGAACAGAGGAAAGATTGCTCTACTGGCTGCAATATCCTCAGTGTTTGCTTTGGACTTTATTTTTAAACTGGAGTTCGTTGAAATTGGCCAAGTTGCCAAGCTCTGTGTTCTTTATATGGTAGTTCTGTTGGTTGAGTGCACAGTTTCTTCTGATTATGAGGAGTACTGAAAGTGCATTCGCACTAAAGCTAGAATTGGGTTGGTTTGAGCACCGGAACTGACTTAACCCTTTCAGGGTCGAGAGGCCCTCTCCAAAACTTGTTTTCAGGGTTGAAAATTTTTCGGAAAAAAAAAAATTATTTTTTCTTATGAAAAGATATAGAATTTTTTCCCAATCATAATGACACCAAAAGTATTAAGTTTGATGGAAAGCTTAAGGAATTATGCTCTCGTGAAGTTAGCGGTCTTGACGATGGTTATGCATCGGCGATTTTGCCCACTTTGAGCCCTATTTTCGGCCAATTCCAGTGTACTAGTCGACAAAAATCATAACTAATTCACTAGAGCTCCATTTTTTCTGTCGAATGAGTACACGAAACCACCCATTTACCGATGTCAACTATGCAATAAAGTGGTCAGAAATTAGCAATTTTGCCAATTTCACACAAATTTCAAAAGATGCCAATTTCCAAATAGGGTCCAGAATAAACAAGAAAGACATTCCTGGCACTAAAATAACATTTCCTCTGTTCATTAGTCATGTCCCCAGGCCCCTCTTACATTCTTTTGCTTTCCACTTTTGAATTTTTATTCTCACAAAAAGTAGAAGATTTACTGTTATGCAGACTACTGCATTAGTGTAGAAATGGTATAAATAATATCAGCGCACTTGTGAAAGAATATTAGACTCACCAGTTGATGTGTATTGGATGCGTAGCATGATTTGTTTACTTTTGAACTTTGGCAAAAACTGAAGATTTCTGCTACTTTGAGCTCAATTTCAAGGTACTTTTCATTGTAAAACCAATCAAAATAATCTCAGTTTCTGTAACATGTCTTCCAGTTTATAAAGTGAGACCAGGAAAACTAAAATACCATCATAAATACCATAGGAAAATACAGTGCAAAGTCTCTGTTTTAAACCAAAAACACTGTCAAATTTTTTTTTCTCATTATGCACTGTGCGCTGCAGGATTTTTTTTATACTGCGCACACTGACCACATAGACCCATCCTTTCATATGTAGGCCTACTAGCTTTCTCTCGCTAGATTTGAGGGCGCTAGAATTTAGGCGTACTGTCAAGTGGGTTTTCGATACGTGGATGAGTATTTTTACCCATCCAGTATTGAAAACCCACTTGACAAATATAGCGTCGCCGAGCTCTCAGTAGTAGTACCAGTTCCTAGTAACCAGTTACCAGTAACCAGTGTACCAAGATGACTCGCTACCAACCGTCTGTGTGAATCATTGACTGTATTCATATTGCTGCTGACCATAGCAGGATTTCAAACACCCTCACCCTGTAGACACTTGTGAGTCAGTCGAAGATAGGCAGCAGAGAGAGGCAGGTCGGCTGTTGGCGCTTCCCATACTTCCCGATATATATTATACGTACTACCAACCTACGTGAGTATTCTTACCCCATCCATGTATCGAAAACCCACTTGACAGTACTAGTACGTCAAAAACCCTGGTGCGTAAACCGTACAAGAATTTTTGTTTTTACCTGGAGAGGGTTTTGGGGGTCAACGTCCCCGCAGGCTGGTCCGAGACCATGCCTCGTGGTGGATCAGGGTCTGATCAACCAGGCTGTTACTACTGGTCGAACGCAAGCTGACGTACGAACCACGGCCCAGTTGGTCAGGTACTAACTTTAGGTGCCTGTCCAGTGCCTTCTTAAAGACAGCCAGGGATATATTGATAATCCCCCTTATGTATGCTGGGAGACAACTGAACAGTCATGGGCCCCAGACACTTTTTGTGTTGTCTTTCAGTGTACTCGTGGCACCCCTGCTTTTCATCGGGGGAATGTTGCATCTCCTGCCGAGTCTTTTGCTTTCATATGGAATGATTTTCGTGTGCAGGTTTGGTACTAATCCCTCCAGGACCTAGCAAGTGTATATTATCATGTATCTTTCTCGCCTGCATTTGAGGGAATACAGATCAAGGACCTTCAACCGTTCCCAGTAGTTTAGGTGCCTTATCGCACTTATGTGTGCCATGAAAGTTCTTTGTACGCTCTCCAGGTCTGCAATGTCGCCAGCCTTGAAGGGGGGCCATTTGTGTACATCAGTATTCCAGCCTAGAGAGCACAAGCGATTTGAAGAGAATCATAATGGGCTTGGTGTCCCTAGTTTTGAAGGTTCTCATTATCCATCCTATCGTTTTCCTAGCGGATGAGGTAGATACATTATTGTGGTCTTTGAAGGCGAGATTCTCTGACATTATCACTCCCAGGTCCTTCACATTACTTTTCCATTCTATTGTATGGTTAGAGGTTTGTGGTATACCCTGACACATTTTTAATTTCTTCAGTTTTCCATATCTGAGTAGTTGAAATTTCTCGTCGTTGACCTTCATATTGTTTTGAGTGGCCCATTTGAAGATTTGGTTGATGTCCGCTTGGAGTCTCGCAGTGTCTTTGATGGAGGTCACTGCCGTGGTGATCCGGGTGTCATCCGCAAAGGAAGACACAGAGCTATGGCTTACATCTCTGTCTGTCAGAAATGAGGATGAGGAATAGAATGGGAGCGAGTACTGTGCCTTGTGAAAGAGAGCTTTTTACCATGGCTGCTTGGGACCTTACTCTGTTTACTATTACTCTGTGTGTTTATTTGTAAGGAAGTTGTACATCCATCTACCAACTTTTCCCATTAATCCTTTATCCTGCATTTTGTTTGCTATTACACCATGGTCACACTTGTCGAAAGCTTTTGCAAAGTCTTTGTATACTACATCTGTATTTTGTTTATTCTCTACAGCATCTAGGACCTTGTCATAGTGGTCCAGTAGCTGGGACAGGCAGGAGCGACCTGCTCTAAACTCGTGTTGCCCTGGGTTGTGTAACGATGGGTATCTATGTAGTTGGCTATCTTGTTTCTTAGAACCCTCTCAAAGATTTTTATGATATGGGATGTTAGTGCTATCAGTCTGTA